CAGGGAAACCTGGCATGGTGACAACCCACCCCAAATCTCTGGCTAGCCCCACCTAACAGGCTCCACCCCCAAATATCCAGCAGTTTCTCAGCTTGGAGGTGGCAACCCTCCCCCTCCATCCCCCACCGGTGGCCAGAGGGACCAGGAAACCCTAGACACCAAAGATCAATCATGTTACAGGGGAAAGAACAACAAGGTCTCAGAGCAGAGGTCCATCAGTGGCTATTAGCCACAAGGTATTGATAGGGGATCTGGGGCAAGTGATGTTCTGTCTTGTTGGTGCTTGGGGGGGTCAACAGTGGGAGGGGTTCTCATGTCTTAGCCCCACTAGTGGACCTCCTGATGGCACCTGGTATTTTTGGCCACTGTGTGACACAGTGTTGGACTGGATGGGCCTTTGGCCTGATCCAACATTGGCTTCTCTTATGTTCTTATGTAACTACTTTTAGCACTCTACAATTAAGAAGGCTACATTTATACATCTGTCTCCAATTTTGACATATTTATTTGCTTCACTGTCCCCCCAACCCACCGGGGAATCAATCCAAACAATGATGACCTTAAAAACTTAGTTTGTTATTCCTGTTTACATCTGTTAAAACATCTTTATTATGTTGTATGCTGATTTGCTATTCAACCTCTGCCTTGTATGTATGGACTGGTAAATTCCATTTCATTTTATCTAAGGAAGTGTTGCGTGCACTAAATTCCATTACTAGATAACATTTCTGTCTAAAACTTTGTTGGTCTTAAAGCGCCAGTGGACTCAGACTTTGTTCTTCTGCTCCAGACCAACACAGCTACCTACCTGGATCTAGTTAGAGGGGAAAGTTTATCATAATCTTCTTGTCATGCTGGTTTTCTATGTGAGGAGAGTTTCCTGCTTGAACTGCAAAAAGCCAGCATGATTTAATGGTAAGAGTGTTTGAGTGAGATATGGAGAGACACAAGTTCAACTCCTCCTTTTGCCAGGAAGCTTGCTGGGTAAGCTTTGGCTGGTCAATCCCCCCCTCTCAGCCTAACCTGCCTCACAGGGCTGTTGTGAGCATAAAACGGAGAGGGGAGAATGATTTTGTAAGCCACTTTGGGTCCACACTGGGAAGGAAAGCAGGGTACAAATAGCTAAACAAATAAAATAAATTGCTATAGATGTTGACTTACTGATTGTATTGATGATGGGGTATGTGTGACCAGAGTCTAAAGAAATTTGCGCTGAAATCAATGGCAGAGGACTTCATTTGGAGAAGATGCAAACATAGACACACTTTTAAAATCCAGCCTTTCTGTTTTCTTTCTGCAGGTTCGTAATGAAGAGTAAGAAGACTGTGTGTGCTAACCCCAGAGAATCATGGGTGAGAAGGACAATTGCCATCTTGCAGAGAAATAAATGAAGAATGGCTTATAGGAACCAGAGATGTACCGCTCCCTGACACTGGGGAAGACGCTAGCTGGTTCGGCCTCTTTCCAGATCTTCATACCAAGTCTTTTGCACTGTATTTTTTTCATTGCTACATTTTGCACATCAAATTTAACAGGCCCTGGATATGTTTTACATGCTATGGTTACACTCTCTAAAACCCCACTCTCTAAAATTGTTGTGAATTGCTAATAAGAAGTATGAATATTCTGACCTGGGTAGCTCAGGCTAGCCCAGTTTTGTCAGCGTTTGGAAGCTAAGCAAGGGTTGTCTCTGGTCGGTATTTGGACGGGAGACCACCAAGGAATACCAAGATCATGATGCAGAGGCAGGCGATGGCAAACCACGTCTGAAGGTCTCTTGCCTTGAAAAACCTACAGGGTTGCCATAAATCAGCTGCAACTTGATAGTGAAAAAAAGAGAGAAAGATCTAGACTACAGGGTTTCCAAAATTCTTTCGTTGGGAACAATTCAAGTGCAAAACTGGTTTGCATACCCCACTTCCCGCCAGGGCCTTTTAAACTGTCACCAACCATTCATTTTAAAAATCAGAGCAGCTTGTTCTGTCCAGCCTAATTCTTGCTTGCTGCTAATGCGTTTTGGGAGGTGTTTTTACATTTGTTTACATTTGTGTTTGTTTGATGGAATTTTAAGCTAGATATAACCTGCTGTGAATTCTTGTTTAAAGGAGAAAGCTGGAATATACATTTGAGCAATCAAAATACAATAAATGTGATATTTGCACGGACTTTTCCTCATGTGGTCACTTGTTAAGAGTCACATTCTGATCATCCTCCTTATATTTTTATAAACACGTATACCCTGCCTTTTCCATGTAGTTCCAGGATGCTCACAATTGCATTAATAAAAAACATACAAAATATAGTAAAATATCACTTATACCCTCTCCAAGAAAAATACTGAATTTAAACCCCCATTAAAAGCTCTTGGAAACAAAACAGCCTGAGTGACTCCTAAAAACGTCTGAAGACGGCACCCCTACTCCCCCCATGAGTCTTTCCGCAAGTAACGTTGCCAACTCTGGGCTGGGAATTCCTGGAGATTTCCAAAGCGGGCATTTCCCTCAGGGGAATGGACCTCTGTTGTCTAGAAATCAGTCGTATTTAGGGTTGCCATCCTTCAGGTGGGCCCTGGAGATCTCCTGGAATTACAACTTATCTGCAAACAACACAGATCTGTTCCCCTGGAGAAAATGGCGGCGTTAAAAGGCACCGCTGTGGCATTATTTTATACAGACGAGCTCTCTCCCCAAACTCTGCCCTCCTCCAGCTCCACCATTGAAATCTCTTGGTCTTTCCCAACCCAGAGCTGGACACCTCAGCTGCAATTATGGGAGCTATCAAGGCCTCACCTGGCGATTGACCACCCTGGCTCTAGCGATTCCTAACCAAAGCCTGCATAGACACATCAGTTGTGGACAGTAGTGCCCTCCCACTACCAAGTCTACAGGTAGACCACCAATGGGGCCTCACCAAGCAGGCCGGCCAGTGAAAAGGTCCACAGATTCCCCAAATGAAACAGGAAACAAGGGGTGATCTTCCTAACTGCAGGCAGGCTTCCTCCTGGACTTGGAGCCTAAACCCCGCCCCGAACCTCAAAGCCATCTCTGGTTGGCGGTGCTACGTCCTACTGGGATGGACACCCACCCACCCTTCTTTCTTCAGTTGAGCGGCCCACAGTGCTGCAGGAAGCATTCTGGTGTCCTGCCTGCCTAAGCAGCCCTCCGCCCCACACGTGCATTGGGGGGGGGAGGGGGCTATCAAGGACACAAAGCCCAAGCCAGAGCAAGCAACAGTTCAGGCCCAGGAACACCAGGGATTTAGGAGCACAGTTAGGGTATCAAATTCAACTTTTGACTTTTAAAAATTCTGGACTCTCAGAGGGGGCCACGGGAGGAAGAGGAGCCTGGGGCCAGTTGGGCGGCTCGCAACAGGGAAGGAGATGGGGAAGGAGACCCTAACCGCCGCTGCCATGTTGCCACAGTCTCTGCCTGCCTCCTGCAGTCTGACAGAGGTTACTGGGGCGTAGACCTCAAGGGGGGGGGCAGCTGGACTTCCTGGAGGGAGCAATGCCCTCTTCCCCAGGAGACTGGGGGATTTCATGTAGGTTACTAAGTATGGCCCTGGGTCACGATCAGTCCCCACTTCTCCACATGCAGCCAGCTGGGTGACTTTGAGTCAGTCAGAGTTCTCTCAGAGCTGTTCTCTCAAGAGCAGTTCTCTCAGAGCTCTCTCAGCTCCACCTACCTCCCAGGGTGTCTGTTGTGGGGAGGGGAAGGGAAGGAGATTGTAAGCCACTCTGAGACTCCGAGTGAAGGGCGGGGTATAAATGCAACTCTCCTTCTCATCTTTCTTTTTCTTCTTCCCCCCCTTCCTGGGAAACTGAAGAGTCTGTGCCCTGAGGTAGCAACAACAGGTCCAGCAGTCATCCTCAGGCAGCAGTGGGGCTGAATCAAACCCAAAAGAACTTCAACCCCTGCTTCATTTGGCTACTCAGAACAGGTTCACCCGCTTTGCTACTAGCTGATGTCAAAAGATAGTCAGGCAGGTGCCTGTTGAATAAAGCCTGGCAGGGGTGTCCCAATGGCCACAGAGAAGAAAGTTCCAGTCCAGTGGCACCTTTAAGACCAGCACAGTTTTATTCTGGGTATACGCTTTCGTGTGCACACACACTTCTTCAGATACATTGGAATGGAAGTTGCCAGTCCATACATAACAGGTAGAGCGTGAGTAGAAAATTAGCATACGGCATAATGAAGGTGGTCAATAGATTCAAGGACCAAACAGGAATAACAAGTTTAGTTTATACGGTTACCATTTGTCTAAGTGGAATCCCAGGGGAAAACATAGTTAAGGAAATAGATATGTCAGAGCTGGAGGTTGATGGGCAGATGTATCCTTAATTGTGGAATGTTGAGAATAATTAACTGAGACCCTGCCATTACTGAGAATAATTAACTGAGACCCTGCCTCTCGTGCAAGGAGGCAACCTTACAACATCTTCTTTGAAGTGAGGCAGTTAGCTGTGTAGAGCTATCTCCTCTGTCCCCAGACCAGAGAAATACATTCCAATCTACCATTCCAAATTACATTACATTCTACTATTCATCATGATACAATCTGCTATTCTAATCTACTGTTCCAAGTAAGAAATTAAATAAAGAGGATGTATAGCCCTTCTGGGGGATTGGTGGGAATACAGATGTAAGGCCTGAATGAGGTTAGCATATGTAGTGAGATAAGAAACCAATATCCCTGTTAAGTCCTGGGGGTTCCATTGTTCTGAGCCTTGCAGTAACTTGTAACTCAGCAATTTCCTTTTCTTGTCTGTTCCTGAAGTTCTTTTGCAATAACACAGCTACTTTGAGGTCACTCATGGAATGTCCTGGAAGGCTGAAGTTGTTGGGGGGGGGGACCCTGCTTTAGTCTATACAGCAAGCATAATTTATTCTTTTATTAATAAAAGGGAGAGCCGGTGTATTGTTGAGCTAGGATTTGTGAGACCCAGATTTGAATCCCAGCTCTGTCACAGACACTTGGTGGATGACCTTGGGCCACTCATGCACTCCCCACCTAACTAACCTACCCACAAGGTCAGTGGGAGGATAAAATGGAGAAGAGAATGATGTTACGCATGTTGCATAAGAACATAAGAGAAGCCAATGCTGGATCAGGCCAATGGCCCATCCAGTCCAACGCTCTGTCACACAGTGGCCAAAAATACCGGGTACCATCAGGAGGTCCACCAGTGGGGCCAGGACACCAGAAGCCCTCCCACGGTTGCCCCCCCCCAAGCACCAAGACTACAGAGCATCCCTTGCCCTAGACTGAGAGTTCCTGTCTATACCTTGGGGCTAATAGTCACTGATGAACCTCTGCTCCATATACTTACCCAATCCAAACCTGGAGCAGTCCCAAGTTTGCAGGGGGGGAAATCTGAGGGAAACAATACATCACGGACTCAAAACTCTGTGAAACAAAATCTTTCATTGAAGAGGGAAGAATGTTTTGTGTTTAGTTCACGGATTACAATTGTTGACGTGTAAACTAATGTTATTCACTGTAGTGTCCGCGGACCACCACCGGAGGTCAGCGCATATGCCCTAGCTTCAGTCCGAACAACAATGGGGACTAGGATCCTAGTCCCTCCTCTGGGGAACCAATGGGATCCGTGGCGGGAGATTTGAACCCACCAATGGTGACCAGGGGCGGTCCCCAGGTGTGTATATAGTTGGCCTGCCGGCCGTTTATCTTTTGTCTTGTTGTGTGCCAATAAAGCGTGCTATGCACCACGTCGTTGTCTGTCGTTCATCCATGCGGCTACCCACTACATAACAGTGGCGACGAGGGTGGGATTCAGCCGCAACTGAGCCAGGCCGTCGCGAGGGACTAGGAGGA